AGGTGCAAGTCTTAAAAGTTAGGGTGCCAGATGTGGGGTTCAAACCCTTCACTCCTCAGGGAGAAGCTAGGGGTTGTGAGTTCCCTTCTGACCATGGGTTGCCATGCCGGGGCTGGGATTTATGTGAGATTGTGACTCAGCCTCTCTTACCCACTTCTATGTGAATTTTTTCTCCTTCCCCCAATGTGTAGGAGCCATTAAGCTAGTTTTGATTTTTTTTTTCAGAGTAAATTGTTTCATACATACACAGAGACTTGGTGTATCCATGGGAGATGTGACTTCAGGATCCTATTACATCTCTCTCTTGAACTGGACCTATCTTTAACTTTTGATGATCTAATTCTGATATGCCTAGATGTAGATCTTTTTGAGTTTAACCTACTTGGAGTTCATTAAGCTTCTTGACTGTAGTTTATAGGGTTTTTAAAAAATAAAATTTGGGAAATTTGCTGCCAATATTTCTTCATTTTTTCTGCTCCTTTCTCTTTCTCCTCTATTTCTAGAAATCCATTAGGAATTTGGTGTTATGCTTGATGATGTCCAATAGGTCTCTGAGTGTCTTTTTATTGTTCTTCATTGCTTTTCCTTTCTATTCCTCAGACTGGATGATCTAAATTTGAATATCTTCAAGTTCACTGATTATTTTTCTGTGTGCTAGTATCTGCTGTTGAGCTCTTCCAGCGAATTTTTCACTTTAGTCATTGAATTCTTCAACTCTAGAATTTCTATCTGGCCCTTTGTTACAATTTCTATATTTTTATTGATATTCTCTATTTGATACATTGGTCTTATACTTTTCTTTAGTTCTTTATACATGATTTCCTTTAGTTCTTTGAACATATTTAAAACAGCTGACTTAAAGTCTTTGTCAAGTAAGTCTAATGATTGTGCTTCTCCAGGTATGTTGTTTTTTCCCTTTGTGAATGTATCATATATTCTTGTTTCTTTGCATATCTTATAATTTTTTTTTGTTGAAAACTGTTTCTTTAAAGTAGTATAATGTGGCAACTCTGAAAATCAGATTCTTTCCCCTTCCAGGGCTTGTTGTTCTCGCTGTTTGTTGTAGTTTTTCTTGTTTGCTTAGTGCCATTTCTGAACAAATTCTGCTCATTTGCATTCTTTGTTGTGTCTGGCTACTAAAGATTCTGCTCATTTAGCCTAGTAGTCAGCTAATATTGTGCAGAGATTTGCTTAAATGCATGGACCCAATAAGCCTCCCAGTCTTTGCTGAGGGAAGGTCTCTGTGTGCATGTTGGTCTTGTCTTCAATCCTTATCCAGGCATTTGGCAACTGTGCCTTTAGCCTTCAATTCCTGCTTGCACAGATCCCTAATGTTAGCTATAGTGGGGATGACAGCCTTCTCAGGCCTTTTCTGAACATGCCCACAGCCATATGCATGTGCTTAGACTTCTAAATTCCAGGAATATGTCACAGCTTTTCAAAGCTTTTATGAGTATCTCATTCCCTAGGTTTCCCTTATAAAGTTTTAATTAGTCTATTTGCATAAGTGCTATCCACTACCTCAGGCAGCCCTGAAGTTAAGCAATTGCCTGTAATTGTTTTTGTCAAGTCTGCTGGGTAAAGGGCTGTTCACAGTGGGAGAGCTCCAAGTTAAGTCAAACAGAGTCTCTGTTACAAGTGGGGTCTTCAGGGGTACCCCCAGACATGTCAAGCCATAACAATTTACTGGGAATGGGGCTTTGAAAGGGTTCTCCCTGGTGGTTGCAAGGCTGCTGGTACTCACCAAGAACACAGGCATTTATTTTTCAAGTGTACAGTGATGCTGGAGAGCAGAGAAGTGACTGGAGAAAATTAAAACAGGGCAAAGCTCCCCGTTCTTATTGAGCTTACACCAAATTGCAAGCCATTAGTTAATTTCCAGTGTTCTAAAAATGTTCTTTAAAAAATAGCCTAGTTTTCTCACTTTTTTAATGAAGGAAAGAATTTTTGAAGGTCCTTACTCTGACATTTTCTACCCTTCACATTTTAACATACATTGTAAATTATTCATTGTTTTCTAATTATGGCTAAAGTTGTTCAGTGTTTGCATACCTCTCCCTGAATGACCCACTGAAACTGAACATTACTCTGTTATTACTTTCTAAAGTTTTAGCTCTATTTATTTATTTTTGAGGAAGATCAGCCCTGTGCTAACATCTTTTGCCAATCCTCCTCTTTTTCTTTTTCTTCCCAAAGCCCCAGTACATAATTGTGTATCATAGTTGTAGAGTTGTAGCTCTTCTTTGTGGGACTCTGTCTCTACATGGCATGATGAGCAGTGAGTAGATCCGCGCCCAGGATCCGAACTGGCGGACCCTGGGCCGCTGAATTGGAACGCACAAACTTAACCACTATGCCACCAGGCTGGCCCCAGCTCTATTTATTTTTAATAAAAATACTAATTAGAATTTTTTATTCTATCAGCAAATAGTTAGATGGATTATAGAGGAAGAGGAAAGGAAGAAAAAATGGATAGCTATCACCCATCTGCACCTGCTGCTGTCTCCTCTTCTCTCCAGTTCAGCTCTGGGGCTGCCCAGCTGCTCTGGTGCAAACTATTCATGGCTGGGCTGGTGGCTCTGCTCTTTCTCCCAGGCAGGGTGGTCAGGGAAAAGAGCATATTTCAGATTGTCTCCTCCAAACTTTCCTTTACCTAAACACCTAGCCCTCCTCCTGGGGATACAGTTTCCCCTCACATCGTAAAGCAGCCAATCTCTCTCTTCCCAGGGTCTTTCACAGTCATGACTTGAATTTCTCAGAATCTACACTCTCCTTTATACCTCCTGGGCTTACCATGGCTGGGATGATGCTGTCAGCTTGTGAGCACTTTGCCGTTTATATAAATTATGACCTTGGACAAGCTACTTAATCTCTTTGGACTTTCAGGATGCTCCTTCATTAGTGCACATAATGCTTAGATAACATGGTGTTTTGAGGATTTAATTAAACATATATTGTGGATTAGTTGAAAGAACACATGTAAAGCCTCTGGCATAGAGTAGATATTCAATAAATGTATTCTTCACAGAACGCTCTCTCAACTGGGTGTCTTGCCCTTTTGGAATTCAAATAAAATAGACATGACCAAGTCCCTTGGTGGTCCAGAGAATTCCCTATAATTTCTGTGACTTCCTAAGAACTTACATTCCCCTGGTCACCTCTCAGATCTCTTGTTCTTCCTGTTGCTCAGCTCACTGAACTCTACATTTTTATCCTATCTGCGCTTCCTGACCCACACATTGTGCTGCTGTAGATCCAGGTGTGCCTTCCTTTATTTCCAAAAACATTCCTGGCATCAGGTAGTTGTATGTAGTACACTGTTATCAAAGGTTCTGTGGCTGACATGTGTGCTTTTTTGTGTGTTATGCCTTGGCACAGGATGGCTGGGATATAGAAATGAGGTTAGACACCTGGACTTCTAAAAAGTCCCTGGCATTTTCTCAGCATGTAACATTTAGTGTCTGAGTCTCTGCAGTGTCCCTGGCCTGCACCCACATTGCTGGTTCCCTTTCTCTAGGCTCCTCCTCCCCACTCCCCTTAAGCAAATAATTTTTATAACCCAACAGTTCACACATGAAGAGTGCTCTCACAATTGGTGTAGGGACATAGGGGAAGGGAACATATGAGACTTGCTCCCCATCACTCTGAGAGAGACCAGTGGTTGAGCTGCCTGGATTTTGACTCCATACAAGAAGGTTCTAACCATAGGACTCATGGACTGCCTTTGAGGTAATTTCCCCATTACTAGGTGGGGTTGGGAGAATCCAGCCAGTGTCGAATAGTCTCTTGTGTGGGATGCTGCAGAGCAGTTTAGGGGACACACAGACTGGACTCAGGTGACTTGCTTGAGTCCACACAGTGGGATTGGACCATAGCTGTGATGTTGGGGATTTTTTCCAGAGTTTGTTGTTAAGAGTCCATACCCTGACCCTTGATTTGCTGTGTGACTTTTCACAGGTTGTACAACCCCTTAAGACTTGGGTTTTACATCCATAAAATGGGTTTAGTTCACAGTGCCCTGACTACCTTGAGTGCATGGTCATGGGGCCAGTCCTGCAGATCCCACCTTGGGGTGTTCTACTTGGGCAGCTGTGGGGGAAACCTCAGTGGGGAGGAGAAGGAGGCACTGCCTGGGGGTTAGGAAGATGGTGCTGCTCCCCTAGGGCATGGGAGGCAAGAGTGCTCAGATGTTGCAGAGTATTCCATCTGGGGAGAAGAGTCCAGGGCCTGACCCTCAGTAGGTGGCGGTGGGTGTGAGGCAGCTGAGGTGTGGCCAGGAGGAGTGTGTAGATCTCTATCCCTGCCCCTCTGTGATGGCAGAAGCAGAGCTGGCAGAGACTTAGAGGGAAATGCTTGGTTGTGATGCAGCTAAGAGCCTATCAGTTTTTGTGGGGGTTGCTTTGCTGTGTGTGTAGGGAGCATTACTAACACTAGTGGCAGCTGAGACAGCCATACAGGTGCCAGCAATACATAAATGCCAATACTTGCATTGGGGCTGTAGGGATTTGACATTTCGCAAAAAGAGCTTGTTGTTTTGCTCACAGCTGCCAACTTAGGGAACTGATAGTTGAAGTTGGTGGAAAATCTGCATGGAAATTTGACTCATTAAATGGTGTAGGGACAGAGGACAGGAGAGGCTTAGCCTAGCCTGGCTGTAATAGAGTGACTTCTGAGCTGACCACAGGCCGGCATTGGTGGGCAGGGAGGCAGGCTGTTAACCAGAGAAGCAGGTGTCTCAAGTGGGTGTAAGGGTGGAAAGTGTGAGATCACTAAGCTGATTTTACCGCGGGGGTGGGGGGTGCGCCTCTCCAGCACAGTGCCAAGCATTTCATACACTGAGGCTGTTTATAATTTATTCTGCAATTACTATCGAGGTCCTACTGTAGGTGCTGGGGATGATATGGAAGATCTGAATGGCTGACTCTAACTACTGGGCTGTGATCCCAGAACTAATATTTAGCTCCGCCCTTGGGGTGGGGAAGTGTAAGGGGCCTGTCTGAGTGAAGCTTTTTCTCTGCTTTTGTCTTTGCCTCCTGGATGTTTCCTCTGCAGCTGAACAGGCTGGCAGGCAGCCTGCGATGGGACCCTGCTCAGCAGACCCCCACCTCTGCTGGGCCTCCTGGCTCCTGGGATTCACCAGCCTCCTCCTCAGTGAGTGGACGGGGCTCCTGGGAGGGAGTGCAGTAGGGTGGAGCAGGGAGGCAGGGTTTCCTTCCCTGGCTGCTGTCTTTGGTGAACAAAAGGACAAAACAACTCTTATAATTTAGCAAATGCACTGCATTTGGTTTAGAGTCCAGGGGTGAAGAACAAATGGCCTGTTGGTTGTGGGGAGGCTGGGAACCCTGGGCTCTGGGCAGCTGGGCTGCATGAAGGAGTCATTAACAGGGAGGTGAGGTCACTTCAGGTGTAACAGCAGGGAAGGCGGGAGAGCTTGGAGCTGCCTGGGGAGAGGGATGGAGACAAAGTAGTTCCTCCTGGGGACAGAAAGGTGGGAACAGAGCACCCCTGGCCTAGAACTCAGTGGGGACCTGACAGCCTCTGCAGCTGTCGTGTGGAGGAGGGGGCTGACCTGGCACCCCGTGTCTGAGTTGGAGGAAGCAACTCTAGTCTGGGCTTCTTGGGCTTCTCCACTGAAAACGGAGCGTGAAGGAGCGCTCCTCGCCCGGGTTTGGGGCTCAGCTCCAAGCACAAAGGAGCGAGTCCCTGGAAGTCTCACATTTAACTTAAAATTACTTGTGAATTTTGCATTCCGCCACAGTGTTAGTTTTCATCTTAAAAAGTTGAGAAATATTAATTTTTGGGTAAAAATCCTCTAGGGAGGCCCCTTTTTCACGCCTGTGTGTTGCATCACCCTCCACTGCCAAATGCTGCTTAGGTCCTGGAGACCCCAGATTGAAAGCACTGTTTTAGAGAAAAACCCTGGATGCAAAGGAGGTACCCATCAGCTTGGGAATGATTGAGCAGATGGAGGAGTGTCTTTGTCATGGAATAATATGGGGGATAAAAAAACAAGTGTAGGGATTTCCGATTTCCAACTTCCATGAGTAGGATGCGTGGATTTCCATGAGCAAGATGCAGGACACTGAATACAATGAAATCCTAATGTTGTAGATGAACAGGAGCCTTCAAAATTTAAGGGTGACTGTCCCCACATGTTTATAAATGGAGAAAATGTGGAAGGAAACATAGACTGCTAAGGCGGGTTCCCAGAGAGGGTGAACATGGGGAGGAGAGAGTGAGGAGGAGGAAGTAGAGAGGGGGGAGAGTTAAGCAAAAAGGAAACTGAAACAAAGACTGTCCCAAGGAAGGCCGAATATTTCATCTATGACTTTATCAGAGATTTTATGTTTACGTATAACGAAATTCAATGAAAAACTAATGGGAAAATAATAACTAGTGAATTATGAATTCAGGTGTAAGCTGTGAAAGCTCTCATTGTTGCATTTTTTTTGTTCTAATATCCCAGCCACTATATGAAGTTGCAGGGAATTTTATGAAGTAGTGGATTAGAGAGCATTTGTACACAGGATGTCTTGAATTAACAATGAGCTTTGCATTAGACCCCTCTAACTAGGTAAAATGTAGGCTTTCTCCACTTCTTCAATTTTATTTAAATGGAGAAATATGTTAAATTATATAGAGTTTTCTCCATAGGCCCTGGTGTTGTAAGGTTATATGAGAAAGAAAGAGAGAGAGAGAGGGATGAAGAGAATGAGAGAGAGAGTGAGAGATGGAGGGAGGAAGAGAAAAGGAGGAAGGGTCAGAAAAATGGACATTTTATGATGATATTTGAGTGTTAAATTTTATATTATTTAAATGAATTTTAACTCTATCTTGTTTACAACCATGCCCTCCCCTGGCTTTATTTTCTTCTTCAGGATTAGATCTTTTGTAGATCAGAGAGCTCTTGCTGCCTTCCTTCTCTTTCTAAGTCTTCTTCCATCTTCCTCACAGGTGGTGCTCACCATCCAGCTTCCGGGGCGGATCCTCCCCCGCAGCCTGAGGGCTGAGCCTCCTCCCTTCCTGGTTCCTTCCTCTCTAGAAAGTGGGGAGTCTGCCTGGGCTGCTGTTTAACCCTCCCCTAGCCAGAAGTCCCTGCTCTGCTAAGCCCTCTAAGTACTTGCTCCCCCTTTCCCAGGAGAGGGAAGTTGGAGGATGAGACTCCAGGGCCTGCTCAGATCCTGGTGATCAGACAGCAGTGCTGGGAGGGAGGAGCCCTGGGGAGGGCAGGAAAAGGGTAGGAGAGCTGATGGGCAACTGCCTGCAGAGGAGAAGCACAGGGCAGGATGAGAGGAGACCCAGGCTCCAGGTCTGGCTCTGTCCTGTGTGACCCAGGACAAGGTCACCCACCAGGGAGCCTCATCTGTGAAAGGAGGGGCCTGGGCAGATCCCCTCTAAGGCCCCTCCCAGCTATGACATGCTGGGATTCATGAGTCCACCGAGACAAGACTCTCCTGCGGTTACTTCAAGGCCTCTGCTCTGTCTCTTCATTCTGTGCTGTCCTATTCCTGTGGCCTGACAGATACTGCCAGTTGGTGAGCCTGATTAGGGCACCTTCAAAGAGAAGACCTCGGGCACTCCCTGTGGTCACTTCCTCAGCCCTCCAAGGAGGGAGGCCATCCTTCGCTTCATGCCTTGTCTTTGGGATCCAGCCTGGCCCTCTGTTCTCTCTGTCTCTGCTCCTGAGCGGGGTCTCCAGACCACCTGGAAGGACATCATGTCCTTTCCCCAGGGTATGGAAACTTGGTCTGCAAACCCCGCTCAGGAAAGCACGCTACAGCTGTGTGTTCAGAGCAGCTACCTGAGAACTTCAGCCATAGCTTCTTAGTTTCTGTCTGTTTAGTAGAATATACCAGCTTCTTTGAGCCCCAGGTTAAATAGAGCACTTCTGGTTAGTGTCTATTGTTGTACCCCATGTTGCATATTTCAACAGGAGATTAACTCTGAATGCCATGATTGAGTGAGGTAGTACAGAATACTTTTATTTCACTCACTACTTAGTGAGGGAACCAGGAGGCTGTTAGAACCAGTTCAAAGGAAGAATCAGAGACCATGCCCATATAAGCCATCAGGAATGCTGGAATGAGTGTCCAAAGAGATGCCCTCTGTTTACAGAGTTTATGGCATAGTTTGTGGCTACATAGAGAAAATCTGGAAGGATCCGCGCCGATAACAGTGCTTACATCTGGGTGGAGGCCCTCTTTGAACTTTTACTTGAATCAACTCCATAATCCATATAATAGTTTTTTATGAACACATAATACTTTTACATTACAAAGCAACTCACTAAAGAAAGGGGAAAATGCCCACACCAAATAGAGTTGATAATATAAACTTTTTCAACCCACGCTTGGGATAACATGTAGCCTGTCATTCCCTCCATCTTTACCACTCTCCCAGCAGCAAGGATGTCCTCAGGTACTTGATAACAAGGGAGTTGACAGTGGCCATGGAAGCCAGCTGCTGGGGGCACAGCAATAAATTTCCTTTCAATCTCAGGGCTTTGGTAAACAAGAAGGCCCTGGCTGGACTTCGACTCCCTACAGCCACCTATGGGATTGCACCCATGGGTGTCTGAGCCTATCCCTGTACCCAGGAGGAGACCTCTGGAAGGGGCAGCTGGTGGAGAGGAAAGGGCACCATCCTGGAACCTGGGAATGTCTGGTTCTTATCCCGGGTAGACTTGGTCAAGAAGAATCATCATCATAATGAGAAGGAACACATTTATGGAACAATTATTGAACACTGTGCTGAAAGCTTTTATCTTCTTAAATCCCCACAATAATTCTATGAGGTAAGCACTATTGTTATTTCCATTTCACAGATGAGAAGGCTGAAGGCAGAGAGGTTAAATAACAGCTCAAGTCCACACAGCCAGAAAATGGAGGAACTGACCTCAACCTAAGTCTTGCTGACTCTACAGTGCAAGCTTTAGACCACTCCATTACACTAGGTCACCCAGTCTGACACCTCGGTCCATCTCAATAAAAACACACTTTGAAGTGGGACTGAGAGGCTGTGAGGACCCTATGGTTTCTTGTGGTGAAGCTACAAGGTGGTGGAGGCTCCACCAGGTGTGACAGGCCCCCTCCCTCCCTCTCTCATGGGACATGTGGGGTGGGATATAAACGCCCCTTGTTCTAAGACCCTCAGGTATTGTAATTATTTGTTACTGCAGCACAGCCTAGCCCATCCTGACTACTACACTGCCTAGAAGGAGAAGAAAGGGAGAGCAACATTCATTACTTTATTAGTTATCTATTGCTGTGTAACCTGTTACTCGAAAAGTTAGTGCCTTAAAACAACACCATGTACAGTCTCACGGCTTCTGAGGGTCAGGATCCGGGGGTGGTGTAGCTGGGTCCTCTGACTCAGGGTCTCTCAGACTGGAATCAAGGTCTTGACTGGGGCTGCAGTCAGTTCAAGACTCAACGGGGGAGAATCCACTTCCAAGCTCACTCGTGTGATTGCTGATAGGATGCGGTTCCCGTGGCTGTTCAACGGAGGGCCTCAACTCCCCCCTGGCTGTTGGCCGGAGGCTGCCCTCAGTTGCTCACCATGTGGGCCTCTCCACAGGGCAGCTGACAGCATGGCAGCTGGCTTCATCAGATGGAGGGAGAGAGAGAGTGTGAACAAGATGGGTCACAGTCTTGTGTAACCTCCCATCGCTAAGTGACATCCCATCACCTTTGCTGTATCCTGTTCCTTAGAAGCAAGTCACTAGGTACAGACCCCATTCCAGAGTAGGGAGTTACAAAGGGAGTAAACATGGGCGGGGGGGGATCTTTGGACCCACTTTGGAAGCTGCCTCCTACAGATACGCACTTAGTATGTGCCAGAAGATGTGCTGGTGCTTTTGATCCTTGATCTCATTTAATTCATACTATCATTTTGAGGCAGATAAGGAAACTGCAAGTTAGCAAGTTTAAGTAACCTGTTCAAGGTTACACTCCACTAGAACCGGGACTTGATTCCAGAATTGCTTCAAATTCATTGTCCTAGGCTGCCTTCCAAGAATCAAGGGAGTATATTGGATGGATTTCATTAAAAAGATGAGTTCTGTGTTTCTCTCTTCTATTCTCGTTGAAAAAACACTCATGGTTCCTGTTTCCAATGCCCTAGGTGTCTGCAGCACTGGGGTCAAGAGTTCTGGAGCACATGGTTCTGGAGTTCAGGATTCTGTAGTCCACGGTCCTCTGAAGGAGATCCGAGGAGGTTCTGTGTTGTTTCGTGTGATCAAGGAGCCAGAAACCAAGCTGGAGGAGATCTCGTGGGGCTTTGGCCCTGGCTTAAAATACAGAGTCATGCTGCGAGTCCATAGCGGGGCAGAAGAGGCTCCAACCTGGGTCAGCCTCCAGGCCAAGTACAAGCAGAGGGTCCATGTGCCTAACATAACATCCCTGAGGATTGAGAACTTGACCCGTGAGGACAGTGGGCCCTACCGGGCTCGAGCCAGCTTAACTGGAGGACTGGAGTCTAGCCAGATTTTCCACCTCATTGTCTACGGTACGTGACACCCCCTCACCTCAGTCGCATGGCTACGGCTTTCTTTTGTAACTACAAATGTCACATCAGCCCCATTTTGCAGGACTCCTTCCAGACGCCACCCTTCAGGCTCTATTTTCACCCTTGAAATTATGATAAGTGGGTTCACCGCAAAGGGAGAGCAGAGCTGAAACTCACACCAGGGATAAAATCACTTCAGTGTTTTGGGAGAGGGAAATGGAAATTTGGGAGAAATGGAATTTTTGCCATAAAACTTATTGTTCTTTATAGGATTAAGTTTACTTAATTTGTGTATTAGTTTTCTATTGCTGCTATAATAAATTACAGTAGTCCCCCCTTATCTGAGGGGGACCCTCAGACCCCAAGTGGATGCCTGAAACCATGGATAGTAACGAACCCTGTCTAAAATATGTTTTTTCCTATTCATACATACCTATAATAAAGTTTAATTTATAAATTAGGCACAGTAAGAGATTAACAACAATAACTAATAATAAAATAGAACAATTATAACAGTATTATAAATGTAATAAAAGTTACCATAGATCTTAGCTACCTTGGCATATGATTTTTTTCTTTCCTTATAAAGTCAAGAACTTTCAAATTTGCACTTAAAGGAAGCACTTTATGACTTCTCTTTGGCATATGTGAATGGCCAGCATTGCTACTCTTGCTCTTTGTGGCCATTATTAAGTAAAATAAGGGTTACTTGAGCACAAGCACTGTGATACTTCCATAGTCGACCTGATAATCGAGCCAACTACCAAGTGACTATTGGGCCGGTAGCCTATACAGCTTGGAAAAACTGGAAGAAGGGATGATTCAGGTTCCGGGTGGGATGGAGTGGGATGATTCAAGATTTTAACATGCTACTCAGAACAGCATGCAATTTATAACGTGAATTGTTTATTTCTGGAATTTTCCATTTAATATTTTCGGACCATGGTTGACCATGGGTAACTGAAACTGCAGAAAGGGAAACCAAGGATGAGGCGGGATTACTGTACTACAAATTTAGCAGCTTAACTCAACAAAAATTTATGATCTTACTGTGCTGTAGGGCAGAAGTCAGACATGGGTCTCACTGGGCTAAAGTCAAGGTGTTGGAACCAGGTTCCTTTCTGGAGGATCCAGGGGAGAAAACATTTTCTTGCCTTTTCCATCTCCTGGTGGCTGCCTGCATTCCTAGCTCTCAGCCACCTTCCCCTGTCTTCACAGCCAGCAATGGTGGGATGAGTCCTCCTCACAGTGCAGCCCTCTGAACTCCTCTCCTTCCTTCTTCCACTTTTAAGGACCCTTGTGATTACATTGGTCCCATCCGGAGAATCCAGAATAATCTCACTATTTTAATGTCAGCTGATTAGCAACCTTAATTCTATCTATTACCTCAATTCCCCTTTGCCATTAACCTAACATATTCACAGGTTCTGAGGATTAGGACGTGGACATCTTTGGGGGGGGCACTATTCTGCCTGCTATAATTGGGAAATCATGTGTAGTCCATCCTCCCTGTCCCATCTGTTCTTACTCAGCCCCAGCCTGAGGCCAGCCACACTCATAAAAGATGCCACAAATCCAGCCCTAAGAGCCTCCATAGATGTAGGAGGAAGTTTACCTTACCACACTTCTTAAGAACCTCATTTAGCGACTCTTCCTTTCCCTACAGTTCCTCTGCATAGAGAAACACCCTGCTACGGAGAGAGTGGCTTTGACAGCTTTAGGTCCCCGTGGGATTTCTATGACTGGCTTGTAAATCTGTCACTTCTCTTCCTCTCTGTACCCCAAGTTCAGTGGCATGTTCTAACCACACTCGGGGTTGTCATTCCTAGTCGCTACCTCTGCATCTCCCACAAGTGTCTGTCCTTTGGGGCACATGTGGCCTTTCTCTGGACTCCCAGAGCTGGCTGGATGTCTTTCTTCACTGTGGGATCTATAGGCCCAGGCATTACCTCGGCAGGAGAAGCAGGGTGAGGGCCCTGGACCAGGACAAGTCCTTCATTCCTGAATTCTTCTCCTTCCAGGGAAGACCCAATTTCTACACATAATGGGCTTTGGGTAGGTGGAGTGCAGGCTTTATTTTCCTGTGGGAGATTTTTAAAACTTACCCAGTCTGGTGCAATCACATGAGCCTTAAGCCAGTGGCACCATTCCTTCTTGTCTCTTGCTATATATTTAGCTTTGGGGAAATTCTATTTGATCTATAAAATGTCTCACCTTCCATAGAGGGAGGAAGCCAGAGCTTCAGTGAGATAATAGATGAGAATGTGCAAACTGTAATGTTCTCCACTCATGTGAGGTTCCATTCTCTTGCCCCTCCCACCCCAGAGCCAGTGCCCCATCCCCAGATCCTGGTCCAGTCACAGTCCATCACAGCAGGCTGGTGCAACGTCACCCTGGAGTGCAGGGCTGTGCAGGTCACAGAGGACCTGAAGGTGACCTGGGAGAGCAAGGGCCTCCCCAGGGAGCTGGAACAGACAGGGACACCAGGACTAGCACCTAACTCCTGGATCCTGACTGTGAGCCTGCCTCTGAGCCAGCCCAGTGCCAGCCTCACCTGTGTGGTCAGCAACTCCGAGGACAAGAAAACTGTCACCTCCGCTGTTGGGGAGGTCTGTGCCCATGGTGAGTGCAACCTGCCAGAAGGGAGGGGCGCTCTTGGAGCTCAGGGAGCACTGGGGTCTGAGGATTCTGGGCTTTTCTCCCCACCATGTTCATCAGCACCACCTCCACCTGGTCACCCCATGCAGGACTCTGGGAGGCACATCCAGCTTGTTCCTGATTTTAAATGTCTCTCACGTCTATGCCTCTCCCCTGGTGCCCTTGCTGGTAGGCAGCAGCTGTCCAGTCCCTCTCCCCGCCCCACCCATCATCCACAGTGAGTCCAGAGTGGTCTTTTGGAAAAGCAACTGAATTGTGTCATTTGTCTGTGTCACCTGTAGGATCTGATCTCCAGTGACTCCCTTTAGGATTCAGGGCTCAGACGCTCCTCTGCCCATGGTTTTGGCCTCAATGACACACTTCACACCACACTGCTTGCTTGGGGTTCCCGAATATGTTCTGCTGTTGCCAGATTTGAGCCTCTGGATATGCTGTTTCTTTTCCCATGATTCCTCCCACCATTTGCCTTCATTTCTTGCCTTATTCTTATTGAAGGGTTTCCCTCAGGCACGGCTGACTTCAGTAACACGTGACCCATGTTGTCACACAGGCCCTGTGCTAGGTTTAAAGCTCTGCAGTGGCCATCTTGATATTTCTAAAAATTTTTGAACAAAAGGCTCCTCATTCTCATTTTGCACAGGGCCCTGCAGGGGCTGTAGATGTCCTGCCCTCAGGCATCACCTTTAAGGAGGGTTCCTGGCCCCCCACTGAGTGGCAATGCTCTGTTTATGTGCTTGTCTCCTCTGTAGCCTGGAACACCTTGAGGGCAGGGGCCATGTCTTGTTCTACTCTGAATACCTGTGCCAAGCACAGCTTCTGGCACAGTTTGTTCACGGTGTTCCAGTGAACGAATGAATGACCTGGTACCCCCTTGTGCAGCTTCGCCTCTCTAGTATATCCCCCACGAGCCACTGGAGGGACCTGATGTGTCAACATCACATAAAACCTCCTGTTGCCCTCCCCTCAGCCCCTGTACTGGAGCCTCAGATGGAGTTCAACACTCAGCATGACCCACAAGACCCTCTGAACACAGACTCCTGCCTCCCTCTGACCTTCCTTGCCTGGCTGTTTCCTGCCCTGTCCCCCTCTTGTCTGCTGCAGTGGGGTCCTGGCAACTCCAATGGGCTGGCTTTCTGACACAGCCATTTTCTGAACATTCTGCTCCTCCCTCCTGGAATGCGGTGCCCACCTTGAATATCTGGTAAACTCCTATTCCTCCTTCAAGACTCAGGTTACCCATCACCTCCTCTGGGAGGCCCTCCCTGAAGACCTGTGTATAGGGTTTAACCTCTATTGCCCTGTGATCCCTCTGGCTGGCACACTTTGTTGTTTTCTCAGTCTTTTCTGCTGGGTGATGAGCTCCAAGGGCGTGGACCAAGTCTTGTTCATCTCGATCTCCCTGGCACAAGCAGGAGCTCGGGCACCGGTTCAATGAATGAACCTCCGTGCTCCTCCTCTTCAGCTTCTGAACCAGGACTCTTCAGACTGGTCCACCTGCTCTCTCTATCTCTCCTGGCAATGGGTGTCTCAGGGTCTCTTTTGCCTTAACCTTCTTCACTCTCTCTGTGTGAGGGAAACAGATTCACATGGACAGGCCATTGCTGGCCCACTGCGAGCCATCTTAGGAACCATCGTGGCTGTGCTGTTGATCCTCGGGGCTGGACTGTGCCTTTGGAAGACACTTGGGAAGAGGATAATGGAGACTGGAGGAGGCAAGTTGCACTTCTCCTTTCTGGCTCAAATACCCTCCCTCCCCCACTGGGCCCTCAGCTCCCTTTCTCCAGCATTTTGCTGCTCAGGAAATGTCCCTGTGGAAGGGATGGTGTGTAGACATGGCCTTGGGGTTCATAGCAGTGGGGGAGGGTGCAGGTTTCCAAGGCCCAGATTCAAGCTCCACTCTGTGCATGACTCAGGTGCAGAATTGCAGGAGGAACACAGGAAGGATGATGGTGACATCCACTATGCGGAGCTGAGCCAGCAGGAGTCTCGAGAGGGCAGGGACAAGGTGAGAGCTGGGAGCAGTGCCCAACCTGGGCTCTCCCAGGTCCCTCTGCGCCTGGGTCTGGGCATTTCTGGCCCTGCTGTCTCTTTAACTCTTTCCAGATAGTCACTGGTATTTACTAAGAAACTTTACAACTGGGGCCAGTGTAGTGCTGGCAAATTGTAGAATTCACGTCCAGTTCCTGTCAGCAGCATTGGTTCCTTGTTGGTCCCTCGGGGGCCTCTCTATCCCTCAGCTGTTCTAGGAACCCTCTGTCTTGCATTCCTAGGGTATGGGTGAACAACATCTAGACGAAAAGGAGCCTCTCACTACTGTCTACAGTGAGGTCCAGAACCAGGCCAGGCTATGAAGATTATTTAATTGGAGAAAGCAGGGGAATCGCCATTCCTACGACACCTCCATGCTGAGCTTGATCCCTGCAGACACCCACCTCTTCCAGCTCTGGTCCAGCTCCAGCTGCCCCTGGTCTGTGTTACTCTGACCCACGTGTCCTCAACTCTCTGGGCGCATGTGGGCCTGTCACTTTATCTGACACCTCCCCAAGCTGCCCTACCACACAGGACCCTCACCTCTGCAGGACGAGTGCACTTCCTCTGTCGTTGACTTGGCTCCTGACCTCTCTCCTCCTGAAACTTCCCAAAGGGGACTCTCCTGACTGTCCATGTGTTAATCCCCACAGCCTGTGTGTCTTTCTGAAAACAGGAGCCCAGGCATGGGGACTGTGTAGAAGTGTTGACCATGCCACAGAGGAGGGAATGAAGCCCTTGGTTCTGGTTGCTGAGTTGGGGGTGAAGGGAGGCAGTATGGTGTGTGGGAGTCCTCTAAGGGACTGACCTGAGGCTTCCTTTTCACCTTGTGTAGGGTTCCCTTAGGGGGTGTTGGGCAGTGTATGTCCATGTGTGTCTGCATGTGTATGTCTAGTGTACATTATACACTGGCCAGAGACCTCGTTCTTGGCCACCTGTGCTAACCTGGACTTTAGCCCCAGGGTCAGTCCGCGGGTCCCAAACCCACCTTCCTGTGGAGTGGGAAGAAGAATTCGTACTATTTCAGGCCCTTTCAAGCCTTCTGGTTCTCAGAGAATGACCCCAGAGGCCCAAAGTTGGGAGTTGCATTCTTAGGAAAACAGCTTCAGCTCTTTCCCTGTCTTGGATAGGGATACCTACTGGTTAGAGTGGATGTCCAGTGTCCTCCCACCCACCTTGGTTCGGCTGCTATAGGGTGTGAGGGGTGTAGCTTGTGGGAAGGTCTGAATCAGCTCTGTCCAGACTCTTCTGTTGACCCTCAGCCCCCCACAACCATGCTGGCCTCAGACCCTCGGTCAGCTCCTCTTTGCTCACTTGCCTCCCTCTGTCTAGAATGACAGTTCCCTCTCCCTGTTCCTTGCTCCCATCCCTGCCTGTTGAAATACTACTCTTCTGCCTAAAGCCCCCTTCCAAGTCACATGTTGTGTGGATCCTGTCTGGTTCCCAAATGTTTGGAAATGGTCTCTCTCACATCTGACCTTTTCAAATACCTTGGACATAACTAAGGCCACTGCCACAGTCTGCCGTGGATTAGTCATGAGTGTTCCCTGCTGGACTAACCTGGGGCTCCCTCAGGAGGATATTGGGGCTGCAGGAGGCCAGGACCAAGAAGACAAGCACCTCTCTCTGTGAAGGATATGGGTCACCTTTCCTCCCACAGGGGCTCAGCAGACTGAGACCAAAAGCACAGAGGCTGCTGAAGGTCTTCTGGTTGTGGGTCCACGTGGAAGTAAGGATGGATATGCTGACCCCCATGATCCAGCTGATGACCTCTCATGACTCTGCCTGGCCCAGAGATCTGAGGTGGGGACTTCCTCACCCACCTCCAGCCTCACATTGCCTGAGGACCTGATGCAGCCTGCACTGTGGTGTGTGGGAGCTTCTCCCTCCGTGGGGGTCTTCACCTCCTCAAAGCCTCTGCCTCCTTCCTTGGATCGCAGCTCTTGGGTCAGAGATAGACTCACTGGTACTATGAACTGTGATGCCTTCCTTGTCTACTAGACTAGGTGTCCAGCTGGGTCTCTTTGTTCCCCTCCCATCTGAGCTGAGCTCAGCTCAGCTGCTTTATGCCTGACCTCAGAAAGCAAAGTTCTGAGCTACAGGCTTGAGCATAATGAAGCATTGCTAGGAGCCTGCTGGATGGTGCATGGATAAGGGAGAAGTAGGGGGATCCATAATAAGGCTGTTTCTGACCTCTTTTCCCTCAGGCTGAGCAGAAAGCTGAGAGAGAAAAAGATGACATCACCTCACTGGCATCGCAGGCAACCGGTCATGGTTGGGTGTCAATGCCCATGAGCCCAGGAGCGGTGCCCACCCATTAACCCTTCTCTTCCCACCTAAAGAAGGGAATTTAAAAAAATGTAAGGGAACTGGGCTTTCAAAGCCTGCAACGAACTAGGTTTTGTTGTTTGTTATTAGTGCCATGAGCTGCTTATGACTCCTAGATACCTTGGGCATGGCAGAGTGAAACCTTGCCCGGTCTTTTTGTGCCATATTCTCATCTTGTGGTGCTGAATCAGGTGATGCTCCACTGCTATTCATAGGATTTTCATGGCTATTTTTTTCAGGAGCGGGTGGCCAGGTCCTTCTTCCTAGTCTGTCTTAGTCTGGAAGACCCATTGAAACTTGCCCACCATGGGTGACCCTGCTGGTATTTGAAATACCAGTGACATAGTTTTCATCATCACAGCAACATGCAGCCGCCACAGTAGGACAACCGACAGATGGGTGGTGTTGTTCCCTGATCAGAAAACAAACCTCCACCGCAGTGGGGAGAGCGCTGAATCTTAACTACTAGACCACCAGGCCGGCATTTTTGTCCTAGGCATTTAAAAAATATTATTTCTTCTAATTCTTTCAAGAACTCTCTAGGGTAGGTATTATTATCCCCATTTTGCAGAACAAGTAATCAATGTTCCAAACCAGTAGGTGGCAGAGCAAGGCCTTAAATCCAGCACTGGATGAACAGGCATTCACATCTTACCCTTTACCACATGTGCATCGAAGAACTTGGAATCCTGGAATATTCTGATGGGAGTATCCTCCATTTGTTCCTCTCCCAAGGATCCTGGTCTTCTGACTCAGGTGCCCCAACTCTGGATGATCTCATACTGATGATGGATGGAGCAGTTGATGGTTGAAAGAGAAATTCTCCCTTAAGTGGACCATGGGGCCTTGCACTCTGGTGGAGATAAGATGAAGAGATGCTTCTCCTTCTTGAGTCTTGTGGGAATTCTTTCCTCTTGTGCAAGGTGGTTGTGGATTTCAGCATCCCCACCCTCAAACAAGCTCCCTTTTGCTTTATGATTCATAACTTCATTCAATAAGTTTTACATAAGTTTCTCATTTAGACTTTCAACAATTCTATGAGGCAGAAATCGCCATTCTACAGATGGAAATATAAAATCCAGAGATGTTAAGTACCTCACCCAGGTTCTCCAGAGTTTAAGGGATGTAGGCATGATTTGGGTCCTTGGGGATCGTAATTTCACTCATTTTGCCTTCTTCTCTCTCATCCCAGACATCAACACCATATTCCATTGGATTATACTTCATAATGCTTCTTGTATTCCATCCTCCTCTCATTCTTTTATTCCTGTCTTCCACCTGCAGCTGCACCATTTTAGACTTCCACCAGCAATGTATCAGGATTTCTCCACATCCTCTCCAACTCTTATTCTTTTTTGATTCTAGCCATCCTAATGCGGGTGATGTTGTATCTCATTGTGGTTATGAATTGTATTTCTTTAACTATTAATGATGTTGGACATCTTTTCATGTACGTATTGACCCTTTGTATACCTTATTTGAAGAAATCTC